AAGGGCGAACAAAAATGCACCAAGGGGCAGATCAGCATGGACAATGGACAAGACAGTGGCCTTGGCTGTGCTCGTCCAGAGACTTTGCTTCATTTTGGAGGGCCTCTGAAAGGAGTTTGGTTTCCTCTTGGTCTGGGAAAAAGCCAGTGGACCAATAAAAAGACAACCCCAGTTCCCGATGTGAACCAGAATGCACCTTAGTCTACTAGATGTTTTTTTGCGAAATTCATACCCTCTCAAGGAAGATGAAGATGTCCAAGTGGAATTCTGCGCGACGCAAATCAAATTGAGTAGAACACACTTTACATTCCTAAGCTGTCCAAGCTGATCCCCTGCGAAAAGTTTGACTTGTGGAAACCCCGAACACGGCTGGGAACCAGCAAGATTCTGTCCAAGAAGGGAAATTCCGGGTTCGAACCAGGCAACAGAAAGGGGGCTGCACCACCCCATGGAGTTGTGCGAAGGTAGCATCACGAGGACCACCCTGGGGTGGCATAACTGATAGGTGGCATGACTCATACATACTCAAGACACGGTATCTAAGAAATCTGCCCAAAACTTCTGGTAAAACATCAAAACAGGGCAAATCATCGCATCCATGTATGTCTCCGGGCTTTGATACATATCGTTTTTTTCGTGGGGAGACCTCAGCGCAAATTGCCCTACAAGCTAGAAGGCCTACATAGATTGCCAAGTAGGTTGCCAAACAAGGCCGAGCCCAAGTAGAGCCAAATGAGGCCAAGCAAGACCACGGCCTTGACGGTGGGGCTGGGGGTCTTTGTACAATCAAGCAACGCACCTTCACCTGAGTTACAATCAAAACCCGGTATTAAAATGGTCTACCCAGAACCATGTCAAGAATCAAGAAGGCGGCCGCAAGTATTTCTGGCTGGGACTGCCCCTTACTAACCCTCATCTACGCGGGTTTTGAGCAAGTGGCTCACTTGAGCACCTGCCGCCGTCGTGGCCCTTTTCGCAGTGAGACGCGGAATTCGGAATTCTTCGGATGCTGCTTTGGGAAGGTACCTTCCGCATCTGAGTCGCATTCGCGAGGCTCAAATTCCGAGAGCAGGAATTCGCCATGTCTACCGTCCTTATCAAGTGAGGAGAAGACATACACATGGCGCGCCATTGACGACGATTAGCTACCCATGTCGCTTGCAAGTCTAAGAAACAAGCAAAACATGCAGCCGCACGCTGAGATCGGTCGCCCTCGGGGATCAATGATGAATGCTGGCATGCATCAAATCAACCGCTCCGGCTATTTCCGAAACCGCTGGTTGGGAATCAGGCTATTCCCGTGGTTGGAGGAAAACAACACTCAGGCTGCGCCCATCTAACAATCCAATCAAGTGCAATCGAGCATCTTTTTCTAAAGTGTATCTGAATCCTGCGGGTGTGGATCTAAATCTCGAAGACCCTTATCTAGGTCTCACTCTGGGGAGCACAACCGACCCCGAAGATGTTTAGATAGTTCTAGTTCTAAACTGTTCAATACCTGCTATGATAGAAAAACAAACACCTTCTTTGCAGTCCCCGCCTCACTAGAATGAACAGAACCACCAGGGTCCGCCTAATTTTAGAGTTGGTATCCCTTTTTGGTGGCTTCAAACAAAAATCAAAAGAAACACCATCCTTTTCGGGGTCTCCCCAAAAAAGACGCACCCAACAAACCAAAGACCCCAAACACATGGCCACCGATGAGGTACTTGGCCAAGTGCCGGGCTGTGACCATCCAATGTCTCCGCGCTGCATGTCAGAACACTGGGCTTCTCCAACGAGCACGTGCAGTACGTGATTTTCCGTTTACGGGTGTGTGGTTCTTTGCCCTTTTTCATCAGAACCCCCCCCCACAAAAAAAAGATACCAGAGTTGGTTTCACTTTAACCCCGCAAAACAAACAGGGGGAGCCTCCAAAAGTTGGAACAATCCTTTCAGAAACACAAGCAAATGCCTGCTTACCTACCATAGTGCGAACTGGGCTGAACTTGAGCGATTCTACCTCAGCTTTTGCTCATCCAAAAATGATATGCTTGGTTGTTCACATTTAGCCAGCTTCGAATTGTAAACATGGCATCCGGGATCATTTCCCTGTGTGTTCAGCATCATGGCGAGATCTCTATTCGACGCCACTACAAGGGAAACCACTATCATCTGGCAAAGCGACGGAGCATTGAATTTGAACGACCCTAATAGGCATGCACCAGTTGCAGTTTTGCTGCACGCAGGAAACAGGGTATCACAATAGGGATGCCCCACTCTCCCCCACCCACCACATACACACACTGACACACACACACACACACACGCGTATTCCCTCTAAGCTATCCCAAACAAAACGCTTGCCTCGAAAAATCCATGCTGCGCTGCGAGAAACCGGACGATTTCACCGAGGCCCACGTAACGCAATGCCCCAACAAGTGCTCGGGTCTCTGTGCTGCGAGCTGCTTCCTGGGTATGGGCCTTGTGACCACTCCAAAAGCAGAGACTAGGGTGGATTTGAATACTCTTCTGATACAAACCACACTAAGGATATTGGCGTGTGTCAAAAGAGGGATCCCCAAACTGCTGGTTTGTGCCAAAAGAGGGATCCCCAAACTGCTGGTTTTCTTTTGGTTTCTCTTTGAACACCAATTACAAGCTCATAACCCATACTCCGACGAGCTCGATCTCCGGTCTATTCGCGGCTTGCTCGATTTGGAGTAGCCGGCACCAATTTGGTTCCTGTAGACTTACCAAAGGATCGATAGTAGAGCGTGGAAAAGAGATGCCTCCCCCCCATCTGCAAAATTGACAGCGCGCCATCGAAAACAATACTTCTGCAAAAATTGCCATCTGCGTCTCTGTGTGGCGGTAGCTTGGTTTGGGGTTGTCTTGGAGGAATATCAATAAAAGCCACAAAAACCACCAATTTTGGCCGATCAAAATTTGGCACTGCAAGGGTACACGGCACCCATCTGTGGTCGGGACTGGCCCGTATGCGATTTGATTTTGATGGCTCAACTGGAGCCCTTGGAATGTTTAAGCTGCACCACTTGAAGGGGAAACCAATCGAAATCGAGTCGTGACTTCTACTCATATGATGCTTTCAACTAGGTTTAGCGCACAACTCCATTTTTGAAAGAGAAAGAGGCAACCTTTTTCTTTGAGAGAGGAAGCACCTGAGCCACGAATCCTGCCAGACACACAAAAACAAAGGTGACTTTTCCAAAACGATCTTTAAGGAGTGCTTAACGCAAACCGTGATGTATGAAAAAACAATCTTTCACTGGGTCTCTAAAATCCGCCGACCCTCTGCCTCCCGTCCCAGCCTCCTGCAGAGGGGACCGGCGTGGGATGCAACTGGAAGCGATTGGAATCGGTCGCCGGCAGGGACCGGGACTTGGCACCCTATCCAGGCTGGTCCCAGTCTGGCGCGGTTTGACTCGACGTATTGGACTCTCTTGCAGAATAGATCCAGGGATCCTCTACTACCGCAAGGATTAACGGAAAAGTGAGATAGATGACAGCTCGTCCGTCAATAACCGCACGGGCCGGTTTGTGCCGAAGTCACGTTGAGCTGGTCCTAGAAACAAGGCTGTTGGTCTGGTCCCCCTCAGCTGGTCGCAATCAGTGACGACATGGGACCCTGTCTGTCCTGGGTGCCAGTCCGGAAAGGTCGCACCACAGCAATTTGAATACCAGCGGTCACACCAGGACTCGATCCCGGGACCGGCTTCCCAGACTGGTCCCAGGACCGTCCCAGGACCGGTCCTGGGAGCGGTCCCAGGTCCTGGACCAGTCCCACGGGACTGCTCCCGGGGTCCGGACCGGTCCCGGGATCGGTCCCAGGACCGGTTTTGGCTGTCTGAAACAGCAGAACCAGGGTCCCAGGACCAGTCCCAGGACCGGTCCCAGGACTGGTCCCAGGACTGGTCCCAGGACCGGTCCCGGGACCGGTCCAGGGCAACTTCGGGAGGGCCAGTTTCAGGGCGACCCCGGGAGAGGCGCCAACTCGAAGTGACTTGGGCGCAAGCCGGCCCAAGCGGTAATTAACGGACTAGCTGCCCTATTTCTGACTTTTCCGTTAATCCTTGTTTGTGGTCGTAGAGGACCTTCTAAGTGGTCCCCGGGTTTGCGGACGTGTTTCAGGACCGGTCCTTGTGACTTTTCCCTTAATGCGCCGAGGGTCGGCGGCAGCAGGCGGGAGCCTGGTTAATAACAAAACACATGTGAAGAACGCGTTGAGGGGCATTAATAAGAAACACATGAAAGACCAAACTATGTTTGAAGCCACCTTTCAGAGGCTCAAACAAGAAACACACGGGGCTGATTGAAGGAAGCGTAAAACGTCCAAACAACCTGTTGCCTGAATGAAAACAAGAAAGGGCAATGGCTAAAGCCACCTTTTGATCAAATGAGTCAAGTACAACAAGGTGATGCGTAAGAGAAGCTTGTAGGGGAACGTTTGAAAGAAACTACCAAGAAATACAGCCGCTGATTTGTAAAACAGGGGATATGTCAAAGAATCAACGACAAGATAACGATTAGGCAAAAATTCAAGGCAACAATTCAAGGGGATAACTTAAAAAAACAAAAAAACAGGTAGTGTTTGAAGCGATCTTAGTCTGCGAGAAAATCAAACCAAGGGTGATGTTGAAAACCACTTTTAAGGGAACGGCTTGAAAGACCAAGACAACCACGGTGACGTTCAAAGCCACCTTATCAGGTCTACGTGGCTTCCTCAGCTTTTGCTACCAAACATAAAGTATTGTTGATTCTGGTCCGGACTCGGTGAAACATGTTGAACCTTGCAATGTGCAATATTTTCAACAGTGAACCTACAGGAGCCCCCTTGACTCGAAATAGGGAGCTTTTTGACACCCTTTGAGACCTCAAACAATGTAAGGAGCTCAACATCTACTAATAGCTTACTCCCATCACGACTTACGTTGGTCTCCAAGTACCCTCCCAGATCATTCTTCAGGCCCGGTGTTTGGGCCCCGCGAGGATATGCCAGATCATCTTTGCCTCGCACTTGCCAGGCCGGTCACAACCATCAGAATCTCCGCCACCTGCACCTGCCGGGGCTGAAGCTTACGGGTTCTCTTCTCGGAGTTTTCCGTAGGAAGGCGCTCAGAAACAAGGCCCTCTATACTCGGTTGCGAACTCTGCTCCCCTGCTAAAGAGTGACAAACTTTTAGTGGTTTAATACGGAAAACCCAGCAGTTGGCAAAAAGTTAAAGTCCTAACATCCGTTGGCACAATGCACCAAAGTATAGTAGAGTCTTTCGTTGGAAACCTCCCTGCATTTCGGGGGTTTCCACACCCCCTATGGCAGCTCCTTTGGGCTACCCGATTTTTTTGCTGCAGTCGATTTTAGTAGGGGAACCCTCCCCGCAAAAAAGAAACGATAAAAGGGCACTACTGGGGGACCTAGTCTTAGTGGAAAAAAAAAGTGGTCTCCGAGAGGTTCAAGGGGCGATTTGGTCATCAAAGATCATCCATGAAGGATGTGAGTCACGGTCAAAATTCATTCTGCTCTCAAGTGACGCGGGGATTTGGTGCGGAACCCCCCCTCTTCGAACGGTTTTCTTGGTGTGCGTAATGTCATCCCCCTTGTGGATATTGGCCTCTGAAATGATTGACTCAAATGCCACCAACTCCGCCCGATTGAGATCAAAGGAGAGTGTTTTGGCCCCCAAATGAACGGTCTCCATTTGCCCGGGACAAGGCTCCAGGTTCGGCTGGGAGTGTTGCTTCCCAGCCGAAGTGAACCAGTGAAGTCCCAGCTTCAAGTGCAGTTGTGTCATTGGAAACACCTAAGGCAACCATTGGTATTGAATCTGCACGTAGACCAAATGGTATTCGAAAAGCTGCAGCTTTTGAAGGAGCTTGACGTGGCAGACCGAAGTCGGCTTCGAAATGCGTTGCAAAAGAAAGAACTCCACACAATGGACCCGAAAACTGCAATCCTTTTATATATGCGGGGGACTTGCTGTAGCCGGGGGCCGAGCTTGTATTGTCCGGATCATAAGGTCCACGCAAACGATGTCGCTTCCTCGGACTCGAAGCGAAGCACGCGATCAAAGTGAGCTTAGCGTGGTTGAGAGTCATGTTATGAACGGGTTTAAAGTTGGTATTGGGTTAGCTTGCTTGGTTTAGGCTCGGTGTAAGGAAACGTGGGCTTGTTTGAGAGCTGGTGTAGAGGGGTGTGGTGGTTTGCGTTGATGGGTCGGGGTTGATGCAGAGATGGTTTCTAGGATGGGTGAAGTTAGGTGTTCGGCTTGCTGGAGCTTCGGGCGCTCAGGGGCGAGGGGGAGGGATGCTGAGGATGCTGAGGGTGAAGTCCAAGTGAAGTCCAAGGGTGTCCAACACAGGGCCCGTGCTTCTGTTTTTTGGGAGGGAACCCTTTTTCAGTTAGTTGTGTTTCGTTGTTGTTTCTTCTTTTTTCGGGAAAGCACCAGGAAGCCACTCATAGGGCTTCCCTTATTTTGACGAGCCATTTGAGACAAACCCCCCGATCTCTTTGCGCCAAGGGGCTTCTGGGCTCGCCCCGGAGTCTGCGAATGCCTGACGACGCGTGCCTGACTTGCAGGGTTCTAGCGACCCAAAGAGGTTTGGGGCATAGGTGTCCTCTTGGCAAAATTGATGACCCTGGTATATGGAGCACCAAAACCTAACCAACAAAGACTAAAAGACTAAGGTTACAGGGTGAAAGTAGATGCAATTCCCTTTCTTTGGGTGGGTGTGTCTTTGTTGAGGGTACCCGTTCTTGGGTGGTTTTGAAGGAAACCCAAAGGAGAGGAGTCCCCTACACATGGGTGAATTGTGTCTGCTTTCTCCCCCAAAGGTGCGAGACTGAGCATGGCTTCCAGTACAAAAAACTTCGGATCCTCGCGAAGCGAGACAGGTTGAAACAAAAGGCCACACTCCATAAACGGGAATCACAACATAAACAAGAATCCGGAGGTTCATGCATTTCCACGAGCCGCTTTCACTCCTTTTGGCTTCCCAACAAAATGAGTAGGTTTAATTGGGGACCCTTCGGACATCATAGGGCGGATTCGTGTCCCACCACTCTTGTGACATGGTTCCGACTCTTAAACTTCTTGCGCCCTTGCCCTACTTGATCGGGACCATGCTCGTGGGCCAACAAAGCCTCTTGCGCTTCCCATGGTTACAACGTGCCTACTTACTACTTGCAGAGACAACATGGAACCCGAAGAAGGGGTTCGCCAAGACGAGATTCCATTCAGACGGCTTGTTCAAAAACCGCTGGGATGTCCAAGTATGGAGCCACAGGAAGCCGTGATCAGCCTGGCTTTATGCAAAAGGCGTATGCCCACGGCTCCATACCTTTGGATCCCATCCCTGAAATCTGTAACTTGTTGGGTTCCAGCAAAGTTTCAGCAGAGTTTGCAGTTTGCACATCCAAGTAGAAACATGCAAGCCGAACCGAACCCCAAGCCCGAATCGCAGGCCTGCGGCCACGTCAGACAGCTGCACGGTGCCTCCATTGTCCTTGCGAGAACGCCATCTATGTCGTTTTCTCCATTTTGCCTTCGCTGGCCTCCTTGTTTTGCCATCACAATAACCCCCGGGTACTGTGGATGGACCAAATCCTGCACCTAAGAGAATCCCCGGAATGATGGTACCAACAAACGTTATGGTTTCAACCATGGATCCATTTGCGTGGGGCGAAAAGGATTTCGCCCATCCGCAGTAGGGGCCCTGGTTTGGACAAACTAGTTTCAGGTGCCGCAAACAGGGCTCCCAAAAAGAACGTGTCCCAACTGCACGCGCACAAACATGTAGAAGGGGAAGAAGATAGAACAACTGAGCTTTTCTTCTGTTGCTGAACGGCAACTGGAACCTGTCAACAAGAAAGAGGAACCAAATACACAGAAAAGCTGCTATCAGCTTGTCTCCAACAACGTAGCAGACAAACAGAAGAGCCCCGATACAACTGCGTATTTGGAAAGCAGCTTGCAACCCTGCTTAAATCACCCAACCCCTGTTGTCAACCGCTTGTAACCATCACATCCTACTTCCTAAGTTTGGGTTTTCGGGGGTACCCTTTTCAGCCTGAAGTTTGATAGGGAAAGACAATAAATTCATTCATTTTCTGGGTCCTGATCCCCCAAAAGGTCGCGAAGCGAGTGCCTGATGAACCGGGACGCGTTCCCCATCTTCTGTTTACAAAAGTCCCCACGCTAGATGCCCTTTGGCTTGCCTTTAAAGCCTCCCAGTTGCGAACACGCCCTCATCAGGATTCTTTGACACATTTTGCCTGGGGTTCGGAAGCCGCCAAGATAAGAAGGAGCCCGATGTTCCTTGCGGCTTCCGTTGAACACAACCCCAAAAAGGGTACCAACGAAGTTCCGTATATATGACTTCCCTGTGCAACATCAGCCTGACCAAGGCAACTCACCTTGAATGGGCCAACAGGATGTTTAAAACCGCCAAAGAAAACTATTGGGACTGCTGACCAACTCTAAAAAGGAGTTGTGGTCTTGTGGTAGGCTACCCTCAAAAAAAACACATCCAGTCATAGCAGGTGCCTCAACCTGCACGCGCTCGGATTCTCGGTGTCTGGTCTCATTTGGCCATATTTCTCCCCTGACCCTTAAGACCCCGACATACTCTACCGGCCCAAAACTCCCACGGAACTGTAAGGTCCAGACTAACGTTGACCCCATACGGCCATGGGTCAAAAGCACGTACCCCCAGTGGACATCCCAATCCCCACTAAAATAGACTAAAGTGGTGCACCTACCCCAAAATGGGATCCCATTGGTTTTGACCCACAGCCATATTGAGAAACCTCAGTTTATTGATAGGGGCCCTGTCCCTGTTCCTGTTCCTCGTGGCTTTGCGTCCCACGTGCTGGGTGTCCCTGGGTTTAGTGGGGAATGCTCACTTTTGGAGGGGAACGCCCCCCTATGATACGCGGTCAACCTTATAATCGGTAGCCCAACATTTCAAGACACTAGGGAGGAAATCTTCAGTAGCCTTTATCGTTTGATGGGAGTCGCAGTGGGGAAGGTTGCGAGCTGATGGATAAGGTCCCTGATTGTTGGGGCTTGCCAAGCTGCACGGTTGTGGGACATGACCATGTCTGGCGTCACTCAAGGGGCTGCCTTGCAGAAAGTGGCCCAAACATATTTCAACCACTGGCGTTTCTGGGCTGTCCCCTGCTAAGAGCTGCTTATCTCTTAGTGGGCTAAAGGGAAAACCCCCCGACTAAACCAACTAAAAAGGTCTAAAATCCTTTCAGGGCACGGCTGGCAATGGGGGAGCTTGCTGCCGGGACGTCCAACGTTGACGTCAAAACCATGTCTAGGGTTGGAGGTCATTACACCCATTTCACCCATGTCAACCTTCCATTTGCTTGAGCCCTCTGAAAAAGCAATCCAGTAGTGATAGTTTCCCTTTAAATCTAACAGGGGGAACAAACAACTCCTAAGCAAATGGACGCAACCCTCAAAAAGCGACACATTCCCATCTCACCCCCACCGCCGCTGGGCGATTTTTTTTCTGCCGCCAAGTCTCTGGGTCGAAGATGTCCGAGAGCCGTGCGCGGTCCTGCGGATGGATGTCCTCAGCGCGCGCAAAAACGCCCCAAACGGGTCTCGAGGGAGTCGCGAGTCGAGCGAGCGACGGCCGGGTTTTTTTTTGGGGATCTAATTGGGATCCATGGGTGGAGTATGGTCACACTTCTGATGCGAACTTTACTTCAGGTTTTGCAGCGCCACGTTCTGTGCCAACAAAACCCCCTTGGTCGTGACAAAGTAGTGGAATGGGCCCCTTTGGTATCACAAACAGGGTTATGTTTTAAATGGTCCCAAAAATGACCTGGGGCTGGGGGAGGCACTGCGAATGGACAGAATCCACTTCTCACCAGGGATGCAGCCACAAAATTTAAATTCTGGCTTCAGCCCCCTAAAGTACCTGCCCTGCGGACACGTGCGGGCTATGTCGACAACCATACCTTCTTTCAGGGCCTTTGGGTATTGCTTGTTCGGGTTAGTTGTTGCAAAACATACTTCAGTGAGCACATCACGGTCAAGAGGCCAAGTTGTAAGAAACAAACAGCAACACCTAAACCCTTGAGGAGCGAAGGGAGAGCCCGGGAACATCCTGCAATTCACTGTGGTCTGTGGTTGGCTCACTTGCAACCATAGTTGGATTACAGGGGTTTCGTTGTTCCCTTGCAAGGCTTCTGAAGTCGAACGAATGAAAAGAAAGATGTGCAAATCTGCTTGCTTGTTGTTGTCCTGTCACTGGCACCAGGTACTGGCCATCCACACACCTGTCACAGGTATGTCGCAAAGCAGCATCTATCAGTTAGAGTAGGGCTTGCTCGGTTATAGTTTGTGCCCGTGAGAGAGCCCCGCCCGCCAAATGATGAAAAAACACCTATGATAAAACCTTATGATAAACTATTTTATCATAAGGTTTTAATGGGCGTGGCGCTCCTTATATAATTTCTTTCCTAAATGGTCTAGCGATAAACAATGCCTACCCCATTGAGAAGACATAACTGACAATTTGCATTTATTACAATGAAAAAACTCCTTACCGTCAAGCATTGTTTTATGATGTGGCTTTTCTTCATTTTCAAATTCTTCAGGGTGCTCCTTTCTCCTTAATCTGTCCTTATGATATTCTGTCTGCACGTGTTGATTTTTTTTACACAATCTTAGTTCATAATTACATATCTCACAGTGATAATTTCTTAATCTATATTGTATGGTAGGTTCTTTCACCTCCTTTTCTCTTTCAATTCCTTCTCTCTTACATTTATTGTAATCTCGTTTGTCTTCAATACAAGTATTACATAATTTTCTGGGTTCAGTGAATTCATCAACCGTTTTCTTTTTATTACATCTTGAACATGTTTTATTCACAATTTCCTCCATATATTCTAATGCCCATATTCCTTTAGGTAGTTTTTATGCCTAAAAAATATTATTCCAAAATGTATGATAAAAATATGTTCAAAAATATAGGGGCAAGGTTAAGTTTATTCATTAAAAAAAGCAAAATAAGTTTTCAATAAATAATTTTTCAAAAAATAAATTTTCAAAAATAAATTTTCAAAAATATTATTCCAAAAATTATGATAAATTATCTTACAATATTTTTATCATATTTTTTTTTAGAAATATTATGGGCAAGGTTAGGTAGATAGAATTTTATAACTTAAGTTCAGGATAATAATTCAATTGATAACCATTAAATTGTGTATATATCTTATCTCTTTCATGCATCATTTTAAAAATAATATTAATATTTCTGACGGTATTTATCATTTACAACTACAATTACAACGACAACAATAAGGAATGATATTTTCTATTGTATGAGTTAATTCATTATCTTTTCGTTGTGCTGTTAGATTTGTAATGATATTACCATTTTTCATGTCCATAGAAAAACCGCATCCGCAGTAATTGCATTGATTATTTATATTGTCTAAAAACCACTGTGTATTTACATAACCTTCTTTAGATATGGTTCTTTTTGCTTTCCTGTCCTGTTCTTTGTAATTTAATACTTTCCTTTCAAAATAACTCATAATACATTTTTGATTAAATACATCATCAATATCTTTTGTATATTTATAAAATTTAACTTTGTTTAAATCTCTACACCTTGTAATTGCAGTCCATATCCATTCTGGATAATTCTTTACCAAAAAATGGTTATAATCAAAAATTGTTATGGTATCATCAATGCTACTGCCTTGGGCAGAATGACAAGTTGAGCAATATGCAAATATAAAATTGCTTCTTATTTTAGCAACTTCTACTGCTGGTAAAATTTCGGTTTTGATATTCTTTAATGTAAATATTCCATCGCTTCCGATATGAACTAATTTATATTTGAAATTTACATTAAACATTGATGTTTTAGTTTTAGTATATTCCCTACATGTTAAAAATTCGCCTACTTCGTATTCATCTTTTCTATTTTCTAATTTTCTAATTTCATTTGAGACATTTTTACAAGTTGTATTTAAAAATGCTATGTTGTTGTTAGAATTGCTTATGTCAGTTGTATATTCGAAATATTTTTCAATAACTTTCATAATAGGTAATTTATTTTCAAAAATATCAAATTTAATATTTCTTAGTTTATCCTTATCTTCCTGTGTGTTAAGTCTCTTACATTCTTTTAACAAAATATTATATTCAAAAATGTTATCTATAATATTATCAGTATATAATTCATAGTCTCGAGTATTTGTTATCTCTTGAACTGGTTTTAATTGCTTGGTGTCTCCCGTTGCTATTATAATTTTGTTGTGTTTATTCTGCTCTACAAATTGTTTTATTCTCCAATATATATTTAAATTACTGAAATAAATTTCATCAAATACGATTACATCAAATTCTGTAAAATCAAATGGTTCTAATTTTGCATCGCCGTAGTTTATTCCAAAAAACTTATTTATAGTCATTGCTTCACCTTCGAATGCCTGTAATAATTTATTAGTAGGACAAATAAATATCACCTTATATTTTTTATCAACCATTTTTTGACATATATATGATTTTCCTGTGCCCGGTAGTTCGCCCCTGATCATAATAGGGTTATTCTGTTTAACAATCTCTATAATGTTATCAGTGTCGTATTCATCTTTAATATCAATAGTTTTACTTTCATGAACTGGTATTTTTATTAGATCATTCTTAGCAACTTCATATTTTACAGTAGGAAGATTAATTTCTTCGCCTTGTTTTGAAACCTTCCAACCTCCTATATCATTATGAAATTCTAATAATTGCTTTGCTTTCTCTACATTGTATGAATCAATTACAAAAGCATCGGTTTTCACACTATATACATTAATATCGTTGATTATTAATTTGTAAATGTCTTGGTTCATTTTAAAATTATGATGTTGCATGAGTAGTTCTTTAATATATCTATAGCCGTTTCTTAACACTGCTTTCTCCCTTAATTTTAATATATAATATGATGCTTTTATATTTCTTTCATCTAGTTCACGTGTATACTCTTCATACTCATCCTCACGCTCTTCGTCTTCTGTACCTATACGTGATAACCTATGAATTTTGCCTTCTATCTGTGATAACTTATGAATTTTGCCTCCGTATTCTGTTTGATAATGGATTGCTTCATCAATACTCTTAAACAAAATGCTTTGATGCGCGGTAGCCTCTCCCTTCTCTAATAATCCAAAATTGACATTTCCTATTAATTTTTTACTTAGTATATCATCATCTTTATCATCTTCATCTATAGTAGTTTTCCAAAGTTCATTAACCATATCCTTATAGTTTGTTTTATGAATAAGCGAAAATTATAATATAATACTTTAATATTATATTGATTAATAAACTTTTTTAAAAACTTACCATAAACTAAATTATATTTTTTATTAAACATTAAGCCCTCTTTATTCCCCAGTAACGTTTTTGTCATTATGAATTCAACTTCTTCTTTTGATTTAAATTTTAAACTTTCCTCCAAAAGATGTTTACGTTTAATACGTTCCATACTGTATTTATTTGGTATATTCGGATAGTTAACTTCAATATAATATAATGTTAGATCGTGGAGTTCATCAATATTAATTGCATCATTGTATTCTTTCCAATTGTCAAACTGATTAAAAACTGGTATTTCAGTAATATCTATGAACCCCTTTGTAAATGCCTTATTTTCATCGATTTCAGTTTTACGCATTAAATTAAATTTATCCCATAATAATCCCGAAGGTGCTACAGTCCTTGTTTCGTTTAATATTTTTATATCAATGTCATTATAAAAAGATTTGTGAGATAAAATAAATAAAGATTTATTAAAATTAAACATTGCTTTATTCATATTGTTGTACATAGTTTCATTATTTGCTGCGATCCAACCATCGCTGGATGATTTAATTAAATTTTGAGTCTTTATGATATATGTTATCTTGTTAAATTTGACTCTAATTTCATCAATAATACCTGTGTATTTAATTCTGGGTTCATATCCAATATTTATCAACTGGAAAAATATTTCTGCCAAATCATTATCTTCGGGTACTAAATATACTTCCCTTGTTTTATCATCAGTTTTTATTTTGAGTATATCATCTATACACTTAATCATTTTGTATTGCGGGGGTTCCTCTCTTTCATTTATATAATAATCAGTGTGTGCCTTTATAGTGGGTAGTTTTGATATTACTTGTTTTTGTTGTATTTTGCTTAAATCGTGGTTTAATGTATAAATATGGTTATTTTTCACCATAGCGTAAAATGTTTTAATATGACGGTTTCTTATTTTTGGGTTATATTTGTAAATAAGTTCATTTACAAAATTAAAAATTCTAACTTGAATATTAAACTGCTTAAATACTGCTTCCATTTCTTGAATGGTTGCTCCTACTTCCTTAAAATCATTCCTACCTATGATTTCAATAATTTTATCTCTGGTTAGTCTGTTGCGGGTTCTTTCATTCATGATTGTATCACTGTAAAAATCAGTTAATGAATTTATCCAACATTCATTTTTAATATAATTGCCTTGTTTAATTGCCTTTCGTATAGTGTCCTCACTCATTTTTAAATGTGTATATATAT